ACACCATGGACAGGTACCAGTACAACGTACCATTGGGCGTTTGCGCCGCTGTTGTTTGGTGTACGTTGATATGTATTAGCAGATTGTATCTGGGAATGCACACAGTATTGGTAAGTACGCCTGAAGTGTGAGATTCTTCATAGATCCGACAGATTAGCTAAACTCTTCTGTTACGTCATAGTTTTAATGCAGAACTAGCTTAAGTCCATTTTTGTCGTTTGAGGCATTTCTTATTTAATGCGGAAGATGAAAAGCTACGTTTTCATGGGATCATCGGACGACAGTGTGGCACGCTCTGCTTTTTTGGATAATTCTCACGTGACTTTAAACAGTACTGGAAATAGGACTTGTCCTAATTTACGTATGTTACACTCAAGACACTTTATAAACAGTACAGTTAAAATAATATGCCATTTTGTCATAATTGGCATTATTGTCATTAAATTATCTTTTTAAAACATATGAAACAAAAAAAAAACGCAGAATTGTGATTATGGATATAAATTCTGCAAACACTAAGTGGTGACGTCCTTCAGTACATTAGTCCTTGTATTTGTATAGTACATGCATTTTGTTTTTGATATGTATAAGCACGTTAGATACAATTAATATACAAAAATTGTTTATTTTTTCCGCATACGTACTTAATGTACTACTACTGTTCGGACATTATAGTATATTTAAATCTCGTTTTCTTTCAACTAATTAACAAATTAATCATGTAGTTTGAATCCGTTTTTCAAGCAGGCAGTCGTTTTTATACTATTTTTATACAAATGTATTCCTGCTACACTAATTTAGCTTTGTGATTCATCTGACACTTTCCGTTGACTGTCTTCCTTCCGCCATCTCTGCCTATATAAATATAAAATACTCGAGTACTTTCCAGGTCGAGTCGCGAAGCGTCATGGAAGTGGTCCAGATGGCATTAGAAATTAGATTCATCACAATGATACTATGTTATGTGCACAGAAATATAGACAAATTTAAAAAAATGCAAGAAATCTATACTCACAATTGAATATTACTAAAATAATGGACCTAATGTTAATTTATATAATATATTCGTCAATAAAAATAGAGAACACAATTTTGAAAATATGTCTAATCGCTGCTTTTTGAAGTTTGCTTAACCACTATTTCTATTCAGTTGATGAGTACGTTGTTGCTATGATAGACTGATTTTAAAATAGTTTGTAGGTTCCCACATTATGTACATTTTAGTAGTAGTACGTAGTAGTAGTACTGGTGGGGAGGCGCAGCCTGGCAAGTCGGTCACATTTGGCCCTTTTTGCCGACCCCGAATGTACCAACACTACACCATATACTTGCCCTGTCTGTCGAACCTTCCAGAACTCAGCTCCAGCTCCAACCCTTAGGTTGTAGTACACGGGGCGGAAGCTTGTGGGTAGTGGAACGTGCTTATGGTTGATCCTGCCTTAGTAGGGACTAGTGGCAGTGGAATCTACAGTGGTCCGTAAGGATCCTCCACAGAAAGATCAGGTGATTTCCTATTTCTGTCCAGTAGCCACTACCAGCGCATCCGACGTTTGTCGTGGCCCGCTACGAACCTTGCAGTCCTCTCTCTCTCACAGTATTCCCAAGTCCCTATATGCTCATTTGTTCAAGTCGGCGTTGACCTGGCTTGTGGCCTGTCTAGCCGGATAATCGACTCTCTGGTTTCCGGTAATGCACTGTATCCGGGGACTCAAAGCAGGGTCACTTCTTTAAATCGGGCTAAGCTCTAAATACAGTAGTGCATTCCTGGAATAAACTTGACTTGTCCTCGGTGATGCAATCGCCTTCAGAGATGCTTGATTGTCGGAACATATAAAATGCTCCGCAGACTACAATGTTGTAGCTCCTCTGAGTATGCCACCAATAACATGGCAACGAGGTTTTGTAAATTGAGTGATGAGACTGTTTTTTTTTGTTTTATTCAAAATATAATTACAATTTAATATTGTCACCCTCAAAATAACTTCCTTCTGAAGCCACACATCTCCTCATAGCAGTGCTGGAACTCCGATACTGGAATAGCCTTCAACTGGTCGGTTACAGCCGTTTGAATATTTTGAACTGCCCAAAATGAGTTCCCTTGAGGCGATTTTTCAACAGAGTCACAAGACTCAAGTTAGGCGAATAAGGAGACTGAGGAGCCACATGAATGTTTTTACTGGCCAAAAACCCGTTTATTGACATTGCTATGTGACAAGTAGCATTATCGTAATGCAACACCCAGTTATTCTTGATCTGAGACTGTCATCTGTTCTTGAAGACGAAGGCCTTCCGCTCGTGGTTCATCTTTAATCGACTATTCTGAAAGTGCCTTAAACTACAGAAAAACCTGGGCTCGTGACAAAAAGCTATCGCCGTAGGCTGCTGAAATTTAGTAAGAGTTTCCGTTGCACTGTGCCAAGTCCGAAGCAAATCCAGTTGCACAGTTGCTCGAAATTGATATCACAATAGGAAAAACTGTTTCACAAAAAAAAAAAAAACAAATCGCTACGGACAACCAAATAACGCGAGCGAGTTCAAACTTTTAACGAAGGCGGATAACATGTCACCAGTGTCACCAGATTGAACGCTACTTGCATGTCCTACCTCTGCCTGGAAGACTGTTGTGTGGATTCCAAGCGCGAATCTTTCCTGCACGTCTCTGCCTTACAGGTATATTCCCGCTCCACTGGATCCTGATTCGTTGTAAAAGGATCGGTTGGTGAGACACACCAGGCTATGAGGCGGAAATATATACGTTGTATATAATATGGTGATCAAACATGGTATGGTATGATATACTGATATAATAGTAAAATAAACTTTTATACTGATACGGTCGCTTAGGGAGATTGTTGAATATCGACGCATTGCGACTGCTATACTTTTGAAAATAAGTGCTGTGTGGTATTTTAACAGCAACGGAAAACTAAATTTTCAAAAAATTTTATGCATTTATTTTTTTATTTTTCTAGGATATCATTGTGGGCTTGGCCTTAGCTATGATCCTGATGGTTCCATTAGTACCAATCGTTGATTTTCTAGACAGTTACCTTCTAACGAATCCCATATCACCGCTTCTGTTACTGGTATCTTCTATACTAGTTATAGTATATTATCCAAACAGCGGAAAGTGGACGCCAACAAGGTAACAATAATATAATGGTTATTTATCGTAAATATCGTAATATAAAAATTCGAATAGCAGATTTATCCGAAAATCACTTTTAGTTTTTCCTGACCTTATTTGAGATAAGATATCAAAATAAATTGCATGTTGTCGTTGTTACTTATTCTACGCTACAAGATGGCATAGTCAATTTTTTTTATTCCATCAACAACTTTGGTTTTTTAATGGACGCTATATTGGAATTTTGTACAATTAAAGACTTTTCAGTCCTAAAATCAGTGATGTATTTCCTGAGTTGGCCATAAATTTGATGTTGGATGAAAATTATATGGATATAAAAAGGTATGGTGAAACCTGAACACAAAATGACATTGCTTACTGCTGGATTTATTTCTCTTCTTCTCAGTCTTCCAAACTGTGTTTGCTATGTTTAATTTGAGGTCTGGTCTGGTATACGAAACAAATGAAACCTGATAGTTGTAAGGCCTACCTACAAACTTCTGCTTTTCTGGAATAACAGGTTTAGCAATGTCAAAGTATGATATATTACACATTTTTGAAATTAGAATTAAAGACTCGTATTTATCTGCGCAAACATCCAATGTGGCGTGCATAAGAAAAAACAAAGCTAATGATCATATTAAAATTCTAATTATGTTGTCTTGTAGAGGAGGAAAGGTGGCAACGTTAATATGCAACTTATTTTGAAATAAATAAAGTCGGGAAAAATTAAAACGATTTTGGGAAAATTCTGTTTTTCTCTTCTCTCTTTGGAAGTACTTTGAATTTCGAATTGTTCTAAGCGGCATTTTGTTGATTATCTAAGTTTGCCTGTTATCTTCACTTTGGTGTAGGTGTTTCATACAACAGCTGGCTATTTTTTTCTTTCAGAGGCGACACCAGCATGATCTTAGGTGTCTGCGTAGGCATCCACGTCGGCGCCTGGCTAAACTACCAAACAGGCCTGATTCAACCTACCACGAAGCATCTAGCCGCACCTTATGTCATCATGTGGCCATCCTACTATATGCTTTTCCGCATGCTCTTACGCACAATCATCGGGTTCGTATGCGTACTCCTCACCAAAGAGCTTTTCGGGCATTTGACCTACCACGTGCTGTGCGCAGCGCTGGGTGTCTACGTGGACGATTTGAGAAAGTCTGAGAACACACTGCAGAATAAGCACAAGACTTTCGTGGAATTGAGTTGTAAATATGTGTATTGCGGGATGATCGGGTTCAACACTCTGTATATGTTGCCGCAGTTGTTTAGGGCGTTAGGTATTGAGAGACCAACTTTCTTCACGGAGATTTAGTGACTGCAGAGTATTGTTTCAAGGTCATTTAGAGCTAAATTCGATCAGTCTGGTAGATAAATGCTTGGAAATTATGTAATTTATCAGGAGGTTTGTCGTAGATAACTTGGACTGGCGTGGTTTGTAGATTTTTGTGATTACTGCACAGTGAACACAAGCAGGGAATTGTTTTCAGTTCAAACATCTGCTTGAAGTTAGAAATTTGCTGCAAGCGTATGTAGAACAAGCATTTTATATTCTGTGAGTTATCATTAAAAATTTCGGCACCAACACTTATGAAACATTCCTAGAATTACGGAATGTATTCTTGTGAAAAATCGTATTTTTGCGGTTTCCTTCAATCCTAATATTCACTTTGAGGTAGAAAATTTACTGCAAGCGTTTATAGATCAGGCATCTCGGGATGACTGAACATGGTTTTCATGCCGATTATCCTCTATGTTTGCCTGGCCGCCAAACGAAATCGCACCTCTGGGTGTGTTTTCACGTTCTCGGAAGGCTTTTGGCGTTTTCGGAACGATGGGCGAGGGTGACGTATCTAAAACATTAAGCAAACGATAGATAACCTCATGCTCGTTTGTAGCTTTGGGGGCTGGAAGTCCTCAGCATTGTACATGGTGACTGAAAAGTCGTATCAGTAAACAGTATTTCAAAGGCATGTGGTTTCATTTAGAGGCCACTAAAACATGGAGGATTTTAGCCCAAAAATGTATTAATATACGTTTCAGAAGGATTCAGTTGACAGCATTTAAGGAATGCAATCGTTCAAGACATTTGTATCTTCATATTCCCACAACTGAGAGTTTTGAAACCCATTTATGCATATTTCAAAATGGATAATAGATTATACGTTACCGAAGACGCGCAATTGATCATTTTTGAAACTTGAAGCCATAAAGGAGTGATCTTGAAAAACAAGTAACCTATATCCTATCGTATGAATCTGTTTCAATTTGTCAGATAACAGTGAATATTTTCTCAAGCATCACATTGAAACATATCATTGAACTTCATACTGTTATCCAGTGCTTCGACAAATATGTAGTACTGGCCTTGTAGGTAGGCAGCAGTAGTATTTTTTGAGTTTTTCTTCTGATCGTAGAGGGAAACTTCGAATCTTCTTAGGTACGCGGCGCTACTACTCGCCGGGCATGCCCGATTCACCACAATTTTTAGATGGTCTCCAAAAGTCATCTCGTCCAAGGTGACTCCAAGACACACTACAGACCTGCTGGGTGTTAGCTGCGTGTTCCTGATTTTAAACAAGACGTCTCGCCTTTTTACCCTACTGCCTAGCAGAATCAAGGCTTCCGTTTTTTCCGGTACTAGTTCTAGCTTGTGGTCTATCATTCATCTATCTATGATGGTTAGCGCCTCATTTGTTTTCCGTAGGAGGTCGATTTCGCTGTTGGCCAGATAACGGCCAGGTCAATGGCATATGCAATAGTTTGGATACCTCGCTGCAGGGGGATCCTTGACACTCCATCATAAAGTATGTTCCAGAGGAGAGGTCCCAATGCAGAGCCCTGTAGAAATCTGCATTTTCTTCCCTGCAATCGTGATTGTTCTGGTGTTCAAATAGCTGCAGATAAGGTTGCATAGATATCTGAACACCTGGATGTTTAGGAGCTCGCTGATGATGAGGCTCCCTGAGGCAGTGTTGAACGCATTTCCCACGTCCAGCATCACAAGCGCGCACCATTTATGCGTACGCTCCTTGCATGTTGCGGTAAATGTCTATGGTTGATTTTCCCCTTCGGAAGAGGAACTGGTGCTTAGAGAGCCCTCCTTGGCTTTCGATTTCTCTCTCGCTTGGAATTTCATACAGCTTGCCGACCGTATCCAGCAGAGAGATTGGCTGGTGCGATGACGCCAGTTCTGGAGGTTTTCCGGGTTTACCAACAAGAATCACATTTGCTCTCTTCCAGGCTACAGCGAATAATTGCTGTTTCAAGAGTAGGCTGTAGTAGTAGTGGTGAGGAGACAAGGCCTTGCAACTAGGTCAACTTTTACCGTTTTTAGCGACCCTGAACACTGAACTACTCCACAAGCCATCAACTAGTAATTTATTAGTTAATCGACCAGCTCCAGCAATGCAGTGTACCGATGTTGATCTTGCCCCAATTTAATGCGTACTTTAGGTAGGCAGCTCATATTGCTTGTACAATCTATGACTGCCATTTTATCTTTCCCTTTTACACTACTAGTTACACGTACAAAACCTATTTTTGGGGTAACCTGTACTAGTGCTTGAGCTTAGTAAAAATTATATTGACTCAGTATAACTCATGTTTCAAATTTTACTGTCTCCACGACTCTTGCTACAATTTAAAAATGCCGAATAATAAGAGTCTCTTACCCTTTAGAGCCTCTTTATGATTTTAAACGAATTTTTTGTTTTAATGTATTTTGATGAAGCGTGGTAGACGTAATAATTCGTCACTATTTGTTTATTTCCACACAATTTATGTTTTACAATGTTATATTTTGTTTAGTTGTCATATATTTTGATGGGAGTGTAGCCAAGTAATACTTATTTTGCCATTTAGTGACTTGCAATCAAACGATTTTGTGATAAATAGATGTTAATTTGATGTATAGTATTTATAGCTCGTTATTTTCAATTAAAAGTTTCAATATTTACTGTCTTTCAATTCAAATAATCTTTCCCCCCACATTTTAGGAAAAAAAAACTCTTGTATTATAGAAGGTTGTAGATTCAGTAAGTAGCAACTTTGAAAGAAATTATAGTTAAGAAGGATGAAATTCCTCAGCTAAGGAATCAGTTCTTGAAGATCCTACAAGCCCATACACAGCGTTCCATCAGTTAACATTTACTTGACGATTTAATTTCACCAGACTATATCCTTCAGTCAACCCCACATCGGCCACTCTCGTTAGTGCTGCTTGCCAAAATTTGGTAACAGTATTACTTGAAAATTACTTGCCAAATAAGCTTGCGAAGTTAATTTCACTGGACTATCTCTGTTAATTCACCAAATCCATCAGGCATCGACTACAACCTTTCGACATGTTTGCCAAAACTTGCGTTAGTTAACAGTAACTGTCTGTTAAACTTGAGAAGTTAATTTCACCAGACTATTTATTTTAATCCATTTTTATGCACCTGTGAAAAAAGTTACACTATTTTTTGGGAGCTGATTAATTGAAAAGTCAGGGTGCGTTAGGATACAGTGACAGCATTTTAAAATTCAGGGCTTGCATGTAAACGAGCTCTGTCAGGATACTCAACTGCTGTGTTTTCATTTAATACCACTATCAAACAGTTAACTATTTTTTTGCGAGGGGATCAATGAAGAAAGTCTGGGCACATGCGTTTATTGCTCTGTAAATTCTGATTTTACAATAGTAAACACAATTTTTTATTTTATCGGTTATCAAGCACTTAGTATAGATTTTACAATTACATAGCTTAAAATTTGTCGATCAGACCAAATGATTCATGTGAATTTAGAAAATTTTAAAAGCTATTTCTTAAAGTGTCCAGATGAACATAAAGTTCACGAAGTATTTGTTAGCACTAAACAAATAGTCTAGCTTTTTCCGAGCAGCTGGAGTTATTGACGAGACGTGTTTGTCCCAGATCAAGTCCTCGGTGATCTGGAATCCGACCAGCCGAAATGAACGGCTCTTTGGTAGGCCCCGGTCATCCATCGAAACCGAATGAGCCTAGGGCGCTTTTTGTTCGTCAAGGTACAGTACTGGGTTATGGAAGCATTAAACTGTTCAAGATTGTTGCGTCCCGAACCAGTGATAGCTTTCAGGTCTTTCGTCAGATAGGAAGCCACTGCTAGTCTTGTTTTTTGTCCAACGCACCGGTAGAGATCGTTTTGTCGCTGCATTTAGAGTGCTGTCATCAGCATCGTACAAGAAAGGAGGTCGTTGATATGCAAGAGTAACAGTGTCGGATCCAAGACCGATCGATGGGGAACACCCCGTTTGACGTTGTGGGAGGAATAGGAGAAACAGTCAATTTCGACGGATATCTTGCGGTCAGAGATAGAGTCAGCCACCTATCTGCAAAGCTTCTCTGGGAGGTCATAGGATGGAAGATTGTATAAGACGGCAGCGTACCACAGCTGATCAAACGCTTTCGTGACATCAAGAGCAACGACACGAGCCTCACCATAAGTCTAGATGAGTTTACTCCACAATAGGAAGGTTCGACATTTTTCGTATTTCTCTTATTTTAATTAAAATCGAGGGATTTTGTTATTAGAAAACGGTCAAAGAAATTTGAGTGCAAAATATTAATATTTACGTCGACGGAAAGCATTTTAATATCAAGGATCGACGCGAGGCTAGACCGCGTGACGTCAGTAGCTAGACACGTGCAGTCGCCCTCATAGAGAACTTGTATCTTGTATACGGAGTGAAGAGTATACGAATACGAATTTATATAAACTGGGACACCGACGTTTGGGTACTTTATTTAATTGTGCTAGCACAATGCTCCAAGGTTATCAGAAAGCTGATTCGCGAAATTTACCCCATGTGAATGTGGAAATGGTGTACGAGTTTTTGGCAAATAATGCAAATTTAAATGAACCTCAGAGCAGCGGAGTTAAAGTAGTTCGGTAAGTACCTATATGAAGCTAATTTTTCTTGTTTAGCTCCAATGGGTAGTATTTTTTTGTATTTCTCCGCAAAAACTGATCCTGCTTTGCTTTAGACTACTGAAAGCTAATAATATTAAGACATAATAATGCCTTGATTTATCTCTGCTTTTTTCTTCCTAGTTAAAATATTAAGGAATTTAAATTATCATACATACCTTTTTTTACCTTGTTACGCCTATTAAGAGCCCCGAAAATGGTTCTTTTTGCATGCATAATCAGGCTTTATTACACTATTCTCAAGTAAAGTATTTGTACCTAATATGTTTTCAATGAGAGAAATTCCAGGGATGTAGAGAGAATCTTATTTTTTTTAGGGCCTATTGGGAAAAAATTAGGGCGGGGGCAGTCACATTATAGAATTTCATAGCTACCCAAATAACAAAATTTAGGGCTGCATCCGGGGGATGGACAATGAAGCCAGGTTCTAAACGTTGACTAATATTGCGCTTAGAATGACTACGATCTCGGCAGTAAGCTGGTCAGCTTCGATGTCACTACTTTCAGTACTGCTTCCACTGGTTTCATACGAATCAGATTCGGATGTTTCTGTTATTGCGGGACTTTCAAGATTTGCCCGTTCACTTTCCACTTGCAAACGTTTTTTGGCCGCTCTGAAATCTGTTTAGCAAGCTCAGGAATTCTTATTGGCGATACAGCAACATCCATTACTTTCAGTTTTTGCGATATTTGAACTGACTTGCTTCTAAAATGTACCTGTTTGGTTTGGCATGCCTGTGACTGAACTTCTACTGTTAAGGGTTCAGGCAGTTCATCATGCTTCTCCTCAATAACTTCCACGCCTTCAGGATCGGACTTTTCGGTTGAGGGTCCCGCCCGCAAATATTTGGCGATGTCTTTCTGCCTTGCCCGTTTTTCGCTGAACACTCGTTTTGTAGAGATTAATTGGCTACCCTGTGGACATGCAAATTTATGAGGTTCCATATTAGGAGTCATCCGGGCTCGAACGGTACTTATCTTGTATAGTAGATAGTTTTCCATATCTTTTTCCAGGTCAAAATGATCTTCGCAGCAGTACATGGTCGACGTGGAAGAAACTGATTCTACATCCCGTCGAGCTGCGTCAAACTACTTTTTACGTTGTGCGGCAGTTTTTGGAACACTCGCAAAAATTTTTGGTGGTGTACTTCACGTACTTGTACATTTTGGCACAAAACACCACTTTCTGTTCGACATTCAACACCGTCAAAGTTCAGAGAATTTAACAATAATCTATCGTACCAGCTCTAACTAAAACCGATTACTGGTGAGGTGTGTCTGGCTACTGACGTCATGCGGTCTAGTCTCGCGCACAGGTATGTTTTCCAGCCTCGCGCCGATCCTTGATTTTGAAATGCTTTTAGTCGACGTAAATATCAATATTTTTTGCTCAATTTTTTTTTTCGTTTTTTAATAACAAAATCTCTCGATTTGAGTAAAAATCAAAAAATGGCAAACCTTCCTATTGCATGACGTAAACTAGGACGTCCCCTGAGGATCGCTGGTGCCGGAAACCCTACTGCCTGTCGCCAACCAAGCCATGACGTTCGAGGTAGTCCAGAATCTCGTGATTTATGCACCTCTCCATCACCTCACTTCAAACAGAAAGCAGAGCTATAAGCATTACCTTGTGCCTAACTTTTATATCGTGCTGGTCTTTGGCATTGCGAACCGCTGCGTTAAATTTGTTCCTGGACTCGACGTGGGCTAGTCTGTTTTCTACAGTGGGGTTTTGTAAGAAGGTTCGGTGTGCATTGATCTTCTCCTGATGAGCACTGATGCGCGATTTGTTGAACTCGGTTTAGGCACTTTCACTGTATGAGGGATGTATTCCTCCATCTCAATGTGAATAATATCTGTTATCGATCCGCGCTAGTGTAAAAAAGGTGGAGAAGAAGTCTCTGAGCCCCTCCCACTAGGCATGTCCGTAATGAAAAATTTCGCGGCCTGAGCAAGTTTCTGCTGCCACTGCGGCTTATGACCGAAACCTCGCATCCACAACACCGACGTCTGAGTTACCCAGGAGGCACAGGACAGTGGTGCTGTAAGGGATACGATGCGTGAAAGTGCGAAAGAGATCCAGCAGGCTACCGGCGTGTGACGAAACGCGGGCGAAAAAGTAGGGCTCGTCATCAGCTGGTCAGTCCTTGGGCAATAGCAAACGCTTCAACTGCACGACCAGCTGTATCGGTCTAGTTTGAGCCCAACCAGATCTCATTATGGGCATTGCAATCACCGAAAAGAACTATCTCTAAAGCGGTGTGATTGATGTTCAGGAAATGGATCTTAACAGCGAAGTATTCAAGTGGGTCGTCCCAGTTATGGTCAGTGCACCTTATAATTTTTCGCCAAGAAAAGCATGGCGAAATGATTAGATTGCAAGTAGTGATGAACAGCATCTGTGTTGCTTTTAATCCCGTTCATGTTCGTGAAATAAATTTTATCATCGATGTTGTTCCCCGAGTCCACCCTCCGAGTTTACGTCCGGAATTCTTAATACTTGGCGGATCTATCATCTTTAATTTCTTTGTCGGGTAAGATAACCGACTGCGTAGCTTAGGTATGGAAACATGCAGACATTCTTAAGACACCTTGGAAAAAGGGAGCGGGTGGTACCGCCTCAGTCGACTGGTCCTAATAGACCTAAAGTGGCCTTCTACATTAAATGCACAACAAACTATATCATACATAATTGATAATTGGTGGAAAAAGTCTACATACATTAGAATAAACTGGCATGAGCACTAAACTACCACCGTTGGGTGTTTTCTTAATAATCTTGCGAAGTTAATTTCACAACACTACATCCACTCGATGGTATTGACCACGCCCGCATTTGAGGAAATAAAACAATTCTTCCAATACTTACTTTTATTAGAAGACATACATTTCGTTCAAGATCTCATAAAACTATATACCAACAGTATAAATATATAAATTCGCTAACAACGATATGGTTCCATCACAAATCCCCAAACAACCAACTGGCAGGATCCTTAAAAATACATGAGCCTAAAAATAATGATGGTATTACACAATTTATTTTTTCTTTCCTTCTTTTTCCTTCTGTTGTCTTCTTTGGTTTGCTATGTAGATCGTCCAGAAGAATCCCATCAGGTTAATGATTAAAACGCGCAACTGAAAATGTTAATTATCATTTAAAAATCATTTGTTCATTTAGGGGGATTAGAGTGGGCATTCAAGGAACATAATAGTTTATGTATCAAGGGCGTGAAGTGAGCCGTTATGGACCGAAGTGTGAAATTAGAGTCCAAAGCACCGAAGGCACAATCATGCCAAGGAACGTGAAAGTATAATACGTACTAGATATACAGGGTATCCCATTCGTGTGTGGACGGAATATTACTCATAAACAAATACATTTTGGGAAAATCTATTTATGTGGTGTTATACACGACATTTAAGGGCATATTTCTAAAATATTGGCCATTAGACAGGGTGTCCCAATTTCGACCTACATATCAAAGTTGTGATTTTTCAAATGGAATGCCTCAAATTCTTTGCATATTTGGATAAACCAGTTCAAAAGAAGAAAATTCATATAACATACTATGGGGTTTTGGTATCTTATTTGTTACTTTTTCGAATTTTAATTTTTGCTCATACAGGGTGGTCAAAAACGCAAATTGTAGTTTTTCTTTATATTTGTGCAAGTTTGGATTCAATTTTTTATAAGATTTTTTTTGATACTAGACACATAAGGTTTGAGCATTTGTAGATTAGGTCTTGAGTAGTGATAGTTGTTTGTTTATGTTGTTGTTATAGTTGTTTTTCTCTATTAGCTTGAAGCTGATTTACGCTGTTCTGATTGTGATATTAGTTTTTACGTCAAATCTGTACTCTTAGTGGCAATATGGAACTAGCCCATTGTTTGTGTTTTGTTTCCATCGATGATGTGATTTTTTTCCTTAATTTTGGTGTGTTGGTTGTTTTATTAAAAGCTTAATAACTCAAAATCTAGTGATTTTATCTAAATCAAACCTTATACAAAAAAAAAGATTATAAAAAGTTGAATCCAAACTTGCACAAATATATAGGGCAATATATATATATATATATATATAGGCATTTGAAATTTTTGAGAAAAAGTACAATTCGCGTCGTTGACCACCCTGTATGAGCAAAAATGAAAATTCGAAAAAGTAACAAATAAGGTAAAGGCTGATGTGTGTAAGTTTCTTTTTGATACAAAATTCAGCACTCCAAATTTCAAAATGGCGGATTGAGGGTTTGCCGAAGTTAACGATTTTTCTGGACAAAACACCTTACATCTCAGTAGCTAATTACCAAAACCCTATAGTATGTTATATCAATCTTCTTCTTTTGAATTGGTTTATCCAAATATGCGATAAAAGTTGAGGCATTCCATTTAAAAGATCACATGTGTAGGTCAAAATTGGGACACCCTGTATAATTGCCAATATTTTAGAAATGTGCCCTCAAATGTCATGTATAACATGCCATAAATAGATTTCGTTCCTACATAGAATTAACTATTACCACCAATAGTTGCGCCTTCGCCGTGTATGTACAATATAGTGTGATTTACTCATGACGGGAGGTAAAGTAAAGAACTCAATGGGCTGAGAAGTGACACTCAACGCCGAAAGAACCTGTTCATAAAGTAGGCTTTTCCGTCCGGTAGCAGATCATCGCTTATAACGCCCGAGATAAAAATTTTATCAATGCTTACACGTTAGTGTCAGGTGTTAAACAAAGTAAGTTATCGCAATATTTAAAATAAAATCATTTTTCCATTTAATAATAATTCGTTAATCATAAGTTCTATATTTTATATGCGATGATAAGGAAATGAACCAAGGCCGGATTTACGTCAGTGAGTCAAACAGGTACTTTAGGGCACTGAATTTTGGCATAACTGTAAAAAAATCATGATGATGTGGATTCAAAATTGAGGTTGAAGTGGATGGCGCGCGACCCCTCCGTGGATTCTAGTGCCCAATTAACCTCATATTCGAAATCAATGCACCTGACTTATTTACTCAGGAAACAAGATTTCTATCAGACCACAGTATTATAGAGAGATTTCTGAAAACTATCACATTATTCCATAAGAAGCCTCAATATGTAGAAATTTTCCATTTTCATCTCTTGTTGTTAGAAACAATTACTTGGTATACCTAGGTAACATCAGACAATGGATTCTAATATGACCATATTGCCCAAATTACGAAGTGTCATTGTGCAGAATTTGAAGTAGAAAACTGAATATACATAGTTGGGTACTATACTCAATACAATTTTCATTTTTTGTTTATTAGTGAGGACCCCAATTATTGTATATAATTTAAACAAACTTACCATAGGTGGCACAAAACTCAAATTGATCAGATGAATAATAGTAAGGTACTTCCAACTGGTGGTGAGCACTGGCAAATAAAGATGACGCAGCTGTTCTAGGGCCCCATCATGGTCCTTACCTTCTAACCTAGCCAATGCATACAATGTGAATGCTTGGTACAGTGGTGAATATACCAAACGTTCTACTAGCAGTTTTTTGGCAATGGGAAATGATGCATCTTCAGGTACTGCCCAGTCTAAGAAGTTGTAGAAATAGTGGGGAATGGTACCTCCTACTACAAGTCCATATATTCCATATGCTAGAAGACTGTGAAAGTCTAATGCTTTGCTGCCACTTATTTTTTGAGATGCTAAGTTTCCTGTTGTGGCTATTATGGCACTGAAAAAAAAGACTAACTTGTGGACAGACTTTTGATGTACCTAGACAATTTTTTGATGATAACATACTCAAAAATTGCTTCCTTCTGGGAAAATCTTTGTGTGAAATTTTCGTAGACTTTTTTGTCCTTCGCACAGTAGTTATGTGTCAACATTACATCAAAATTTGGGTAGCGCTTTCTTTTCTGACTTGTAGAGAGGCCAAGGATTAGCAGACAGACTGTGATTTTAAATATGCAAAGTCAAGGTGTATTCAAAATTTTTTCAATCAAAATACTTCCTCGCCAACAGGCGTGGGAAGTAAAAAGTTGTCTTTTGACCTAAAGGTGATTAATAAATTCTCTTAAAAATTTCTATACTGTCAACCATCCTTAGACTGTTTATAGATTTAAAAAATCAAAACTTATGAAAATACATAAATACACTGACCTGAGATCCTACTGTGGGGTCTGACTATAATAGTGACTTTTGAAGTGCGAAATATAGTAGGTACAGTAGTGCATTTTAAGATTCAATGCCCTGGGCCTCTTAAGGTTTGCCGCCCCATTAACAAACAAAAACTTGTGATTGAGGTGGCTTGAGCCACCATTCGCATCCTGACACCCTGGGCTGTTACTCTTTTACCCCTGAGTAGGTAACATTAAATACTCAAGCTAATAGTTATCAAATATTTTCTGCTTACCATGTAATGGCTTTTGTCCTTACTGGATGTTCAAAAAGTTGACCGAAGTAAAAGCTCAAGGCACTGATCACTGGTTTTGATAAAGCCATTTGTGTTTGGAAAAATACGTCGGACCTGTTATGTTTATTACAATATGCAACTCACTATTGAAGTGATATGACAGTTATCTGTTTTGTGATAATGAAATAAAAAGTTAAATGGAAATCATAAACGATTCCACATCAACAAGTGATAAAAACGGAATCAAAAGTACAAAAGTCAATATTCACAAGGTGGTCCACAAAAACATCGCTTATTTGAAGAGAAATTAATTCCTCAGAATAATTTGTGTCAACTGTATTCACTCTTTAATACAGTCTGGGATGTCTGTAAAATTGAAATTAATTTACGGCAATTATTTTATTCTCAAAGTTTCTTGCTATTTTTACTAATAAATCAAAACAAACACGGTGGCACCCCGGGGTCCGGGTACAAATAAGGCAAATTTGATCCGTCAGTTGTCGCGCTGTTGCCAAGCTGAAACCAAAAAGTAAACATATGTGTAAAGCCCGCGAAAGACGTCGGTTAGTGGTGGGTCATTTTGACTCTGGCCCACACGATGTGGCGAATAACTTACAACACATGGCTATTCGCCACATCGTGTGGGAGAACGCTGATGGATTTCATGGCACGTTCTGGCTCTTGTAGGTAAATTTGACCCGCGTCAAAGGACGTTACAACGTTGGAAGCATGGTTCGTTACGCTCCCACAACTATTCATAACAATGAATGTTCCGTAACCTAATATTTTGAACGTTTCGCAAGGTGAGTTATGGCTGGTCTAAGAATATGTATTGTAGTAAATTATAAATTAACAAGTGCTTGCAGTTGTTTCATTATAATGTCCTGTTGCAATGCAGGACTAGTTGAGAGATATATTGACTTGCATGTCATAACTAACGAAAATGATTAAACATATGATAACTCTGAAAGTACTATCAGGATTTTGATGAAATTTTGACCCTAGGTTACTACTATGAGAATGATGAAAAAGCTCTGCAGTTTTTGAAAATCGGTACAATGGCAGCGGAGTTATCGTCTAAACATAAACAAAAAAGGGTCAAACTTTGTTTTTTGGCATTTCTGAGGCATCTGACAGACTTAGGCTTTGGTCGCTGAAAACAGATCTGAAATTATTTTTCGGCGCTCGAAGAAATTGTTTCCTCGTTCATTTTGTATAACTTTGCCTTCATTTGTAAAGGTTCATACGGGACACTGACACAGATAATAGACGTTGGCGCCTCCATGCGTCGAACGCCCGAAACTAAAAAGTTCATCCCATCGAGTAGGAGACACACTTGCCAATTGTGGGGTGTCGAACGTTGTACACAACGTTGTATACAACGATGGAAGCATCGTGTGGGACCTACATTACCCTATGTGACAATTTTAGTTAAGATTCTATGAGTCCAAAATAGAATCCTAATACTTTGAGGTCTTATTCTTAAGATGCTCCATTCACGTCACAGTTAGGAGTGACAGGAATTTAGTCAGACATACAATATAGAAGAAAAGTCATGAGATGTGAACGTCTTAGTTAACAATTATGGAAAGTAATAGGACGACTTTTTGTATCGAAAAGATTCAAGATTAACAACGCAAAAAGGTTAGGTAATAAAGAAGTAAGATGTAAAGTGTTTAATGGAAATGATTCATTCGGTCCTTATTCGGATTGGTCAATCAGCAAGGATTTGGGTGATGACATGGTAGACTGGTAGTCACGTGTTTCCGAACTGTTGCGTCACGTAACCGTGCATCAATTCAACTCACACAATAAACATTTTTCGCCGAAGTCGGAGGATTTATAAATTTACAGAGTCGCAGTACGTCATATATAGCTGTGCAGACGTACTACGAGTCAACGACGTCTGTAATCGGCTTTAGACAACGAATTCGAATACGGGCTTTAGAGGCAAATTCTATAAAGACTACATTTATGATGTGGCAACGTCGGCTCAGGGGTCAACCTTTTTGACGTTTGCCGTTTTCCTAAACATAACCGCACATTCCGACTGTTCCAAGTTTCTTTTTTTACTTTAAACAAGTCTTAAAATTTTCTGTCATCTCTTTGTGTATTAGTTTGTATGATGGATTCGTCTCAAATTGTATTATCTGCATTGAGAAAAGATATAACAGAAAATATTTTACAGTTGAAAGCGATCATACAGGTATGTATGTATAGTATGTATGCAAGCAGTTTTCATTTAATTTGAATGCAGGTATGGTATTTTTTATACCAGGACCAGTCGTAGATCTAACAATATTTTCTTTATCTTTGATACAGGATATCAGTAGCTGTACAGGGCCTTTGCCAGCATTAAATGCCCTGAATAGTGTTGGCCGCTCTAAAATCTCTTCTCTGAGAAAGTCCATTGACAGGTTTTCAGACGTAGCAAAAGATATAAAAGATAATGAACTGTTGAAAGAGCTTGCTCTGCAAAAAGAACAATTAGCCAGGTAGACAAAAATAAAACACCTAACATTTGAAAACATAAATATTGTTTCTATATTTTCAGTACAATGGACACATTTAAAAAAGTGAACTTAAAGGCTATGCTGTTTATTGAAAATGCTGCCAAAGAAGAGTTACTGAGACCTACAAAACCAACAGAATTGAGGCAGAGACAAGTAAATGCCAGGGATAAAGCATCTCTTGCCAAAACTAGCTCTAATGTTACTGACCAACTGCTCAATATTAGCAGGTAAACAACATTTAACTTGTAATATATTCTTCATCAGATCACAAATGCCTAACTATGGATATCTGTTTTATACTATTTGGCAACTCATCAGCATGGCGAAGGCTTGTTGTTGGCAGCATCTAGTGGCCTTGGTAGTGACCCAGCTGTTAATGCAGACTGGCATATAGTTCCAACAGATAGTTTGCTGTTTTCACTTTACTATTAGTAAATTCTGGTAATAGATGGCAATTGTTGCTGTCTTATTCCAACATTTAACTTATCAGATTAGTAAAAGCAGGGAGGTGTTAGTAGTATATATTATGGGAGAAGTATCAGGCAAGACTTGTGTGAGATATTAAGAGGATGTAGTGTTACTTCATGCATAGAGGAATTATGTGGAATGGGGGAGAAATTATAGTTTTATAACACTAAAAGGTATTTTTTTGATTGTCAATGCTGAGGCAGAACTAAGATGCACATGACTACTGTCCATCAGATCTTCTTGAGTGGCTAGGGTCTCTATATTACTGTTCCAGGGACCTCAGAGTAGGGAAAATTTGTACTCTTGCACTTCATACCCTTTCAAATGATCGCCAATGTGAGCACCAAGATTTTGCTGTCAGATCTGTATGATCTGCCTTTAGGGGACTCCCAACAAAGTTTGTGCTTTGGGCCCAGGTTCCTTATGGACAGAAAGAGTTTCCTATCGATGTAATCAATGGCTAATACAATATCAGAAGGGACAGAATGGGTCTGCAAATTGGTTGTCACTAATGCCTGTAGTTGGAAGTAATAGAGACAATGTCTGATACTGGTAGAGAGAAATGTTTAAGTGATAATACTGAAGAAGCATAATTGCAAGCACATAATAACATGAAATGATTGGATGTGTATAAAGTTTTAATAGAAATCTAGCATTTCTTATGTGTAATTGAAACCAAGTCAATTATGAAAAGGTGGTGTATAATAAATCGTCATGAGAACAGAGAGCGCGAGCGTGGTTCAATAGTGTCATTTCTTGTAAAGAACTTATCACAATTGATTATGGTGGCTTAATGGGAATCTCTTCAGATGGTATTTCCACACATGGCACTAGAAATTAATTAAGAATGTGTAGGGTACCGATAATCTCTGAGTAAAAGAATAGGTTTAATTGTAGCATAACTGTGATCTGACACTTTATCTTATATGGAGGTAATTACTGTTTAAAGTGAACCTGATAATTGTTATCGCGGCGCTAAAAACACCACTTTTTTCGAATATGTTTAACATGTTACCAAGCTATTTTTACTTGCTTGGTGAGTAAATACTTAGTGTAATATTTTCAAAACAAATAAATATTTGATGTAAAGGACCCTTGCTGAGACGACACAGAGAAGTGCATTAACCCTGGACACGCTGACCGCCTCTTCGGACAACGTGTTGGGGACAGAAGAAGAATTAAAGGTGACTTCCGGTGCGATCGGCCAATCAGGAAAGCTGCTTGCCAAATATGGTCGTCGGGAGTTCACAGACAAGGTGTTGGTTTTTTTCGCGTTCATATTTTTTTTGGCATGTGTTTTGTATATTATGCAGAAGCGGCTATTTTGATGAATGTATGCATGTTACGGAGAGTGAAGTTCAAAAATATACAACAGTATCTCTAAGACGTCAAGTATGTTGACAAAAATAATGTGAATTAAGAGGACTCAGATTTCTTCATCATGGAACATGATGAATTTCTACACCACTCATTGAGTATATACATACTATGAATCCTATCTAGTTATAGGTTCATACAAGAATCCAAACAAATTAATACTGCCCAGCTAAGTATTTAACTGGACTGCTCCACTTAACCAGTCAGGACTGTCAAAAGATCTTATAGGAAATAATCTTATTTAGATCTGTGGTAGCCACTTTCTAACATTCTTACCCAGTGTGAATTTTTCATTTTATTTTCAGCATTCTACATTATATAGTCCTGCAAATATGCAAATGATAATTTATTCAATTGGGGCACTCTCCTAACTGTGATAATATCTAAAATTAAGTATAGTACAATTGTCTATGATTCTATGGAAAGATAAGAATAAATATATAAATCAGATAAATAATTTACATAATTGTCTATTCTGATTTGTATTAGAAATATTCTTTATTCACATGGTTTTCATCAGAATACATGATTATTATTTTGTTAATTTTATATGGGAATGGAATTTTGTTTACTGATTTTTATAAAAATATATATCAAATCACTGTAGTGTAACTTATTTTATTTTTCAGCAACCCATATACTATAAATCTACAATGTACAATGTGCTAATATGAGCCCCTGGTTTTGCCTGAGGAGTAAAATCTCGTATCTGATACATTACCCCTTTTCTTAAGTAACGAGTTGTGAGTGAGTGCTTTTTGCTTGACAAAATATCCCCGAAAACTACATTGCTAGATCTGAATTGTGAAAATTCAAGCAATCAGACTGCAATAAGTTGAAAGAATGCAGAATCAATTGTGCTATCAAGCCAAATCTAAGAACACCTCAAATGTCAAAATCCATGTAGCTGGTTGGCCTGTAACCCGTGAATTAGAAACCTCAAAGTTGAAGTTTTTGTTTAAAATCTGCCATTGTTATTTTATAAAATTTTAGTGTACCCAGTGTTGCTCGCACTGTCAGTATAAATCTAAAGACACTAACACATGTCCAAACTCCATCAAGCTGTAGGCTCTTAAATAGGAATTTCAAGGTTGTTATTTACGACTTGGATAACGACCTTGATAAGGAAGAATACATTCAAAGATTCGTTGGGAGATATTTCAGAACCAACGGTGGCTCAAGTAACAGTGTAGAACACGGTAGAACCCGTTTTAAAAGTCCCGCATTTTACTCGTGCGGAATTTCATGGTCATATCAAATACCTTGAGGAGCGCAAGGCACCGGGTGGGGATCAAATCACCAACAAAGCACTGAAACTTTTGTTGCCGAATGCTTTGACACATCTGACGATAATTAATGCGATTCTTAGGCTCCAATATTTTCCAAGAGACTGGAAAATCGCTGAAGTTGCGATGATCCCGAAAAAGGCGGAATCAATTATTGCCCATAAGTCTATTGTCTTCTCCGTCTAAACTGGCCAAAAACACACTCACCTAGATAATACTGTTTTGATCTTCAAGCAATTCTCGACATACCATTTAGATTTAGCGCCGAGCACATCAGTACAGAGCAACATGCAATGAGACGTGTGGAGACGATAACCTCTGGATTCACTAATAATCAAAGTAGTGGAGCTCTTTCAAAGGCTTTCGACAAGGTGTGACAGTGGGGCTGCTTTATAAATGGATCAATAATTATTTCCCTTTTGACTGTCAAAATTGCTTAAATCCTTGGAAGGAAGAAAGTTCTGGATCAAAATTGATACGTGTTCTATGTATCATTGTATCAGGGCAGACGTCCTCAAGGGCTGGGGCATATTCTTGATATACTCCTAATATCCCTAGTCCCACTCACTGCGTGGTACTTCTTTATCGCAGTGGCTCATCAAAATTAATTACTCCTAGACACTTACTTTAAAAAGAAAAGGCATTGTGCTCCAGAACATATCTTTTAATGATGTTCCTGTACCATGGGAATACAACGGCGGAATATTTAGGCCTCGCATGATATAAAACTATTATTTGGAAAACTCGTATTCAAAATTTGTTTAAACATGCATTCATAACTTTCCCGCCGTTGTATCCGCTTCTGAACTGAAATTCAAAACTACGTGAATAAAAGTGGGATTTACTTCGGGTAAGTACTTAAACATAAAATACTTAGTCTGGCTCCCTAAATTATAAATCTTAAGCAACTTTCGGAAACAAAACACAGATTTCCCTCTTAATAATAATTAATTATTTTCACCATTTTCTCTCTCCTTTCCTTGCTTTCTTTCGTTTTCCTCTCTCTGTTCTACCTACTAAATGAAAAATTCCGCTGGCTGGGCTCAGGAAGATTTTGAAGAAATAAACATCATTCTGCCAGACAAGAGCCAAGGTCCTGCGCTCAAATACCAAACGATGGGGCGAGGTTGTTATTTTATTGAATTGAAGAGGATTCAGTATTAAATCTCCGGAATTCCTCCTCTTAACATGAATTATGGGACAGTTGAATGTTGCTATATGGGTGCCCATTCATGTGTTTCTTTCAAAGGAAAAGATATCAACGAAACATTATCTTCGCGTCCTAAAGTGAATATTACTGAAGAGGGCCTAACGTTTTGAAATCCAATCGGACTATTTCTGGTAGCAATGCACAGGACGTGTATAGTCGACCTACTTGATGCCATTTCTCAAAATTATCGTCCAATGAAAAGTGAGAGAGTCAAATTGACGACTCGGAAGAGTCGAGCGTCTAATTGAAAAAAAAAATATGTCAAAACTTCCAAAATTGCATTTACAGTAACCTATTTTCCAACATTTAATTGGAAACCAAATGGATTTTTAAAAGAATCGTTGACACTCCCGATTTCGTGGTTACAATACTAAGTTGATCTATATGCATATAAGGAGCAAAAATGAAACAAATGCAAGAATAAATATACTTTTTATTTAGTGTATATTACAAATATTATAAAAATACTTTAAGAATACGGTTAAGTTGTACTTATAAATAGAGACACCTATACAGGACGTCTTGGATCAAACACGCAGGACTTAGTAGTCTTAAAAAATTAAATGTATCGACAAACAATAGAATTTTATTCCTTAATTTCATAACGTGATATATCTTTTAGGCGGTATTTCCTAGAAAAAAAATGTAAGTTTTCAACAAATAATTTGAGTTTCAGTGATGTTTGGCTTTATCTAGTTTACGAAAACATCCCAAACTTAGCAAAATCAGACAATCATTACTAATGTCTTCGTCATTTTAGAAACCCTGCATATCTCTGAGTAGTTTAGAGCTGCTATGTGTATCTGTATATATTTACAAAAAGAACTATACTTACACATTATATGTATAAAAAAAACAACAAAAATATATGATATATAACAGCGTTATTTATATTCATTAATATATAAAAATTAGACACACTTTACGAAAACAAAAAATGGATGTACTTTTATAATGTGATGTGTAAAATTCCATAAAACAATAAATATATATCTACCTAACATCATTCTTTGAATAAATACAAACGTAGTATGACAAATTATTAATAGCACAATGTTCGAATATTAGAATATTCTATTTTTTATGTGTACATTCTATGATAAAGCGTGTATAATCATAGACAGCTATGGGTAACCTCATCGGGACTGGCGAGCCATTGCATGAGTGTTAAATCGTCACTTACACGCGATTTTATCCTTGCTGTGTGGCACACGGGCAGTTGCGTAGCTCGATACTATAACTGTGTATCAACTCGAATCTGAAGACTGCGTATGAGTGTCGACATTGGTGTTCATGCAATAGCTCGCCAGTTGTCGATCCTTTCGACATCCGTATATGAGTAGACAGAGCTTCGGTGTTCATAGATCATCAGTGTTGTTCTGTGCGCTCTACGTCCCTTAGGCAAAGCCATCCGTCCTGCCGGAGGGACAAGGTCGGATCGACTTCGACCAGCCGCCGCTACCAACCGCTCTTCGCTCTCTAATGATCACAAGAACATTCGCTGTCAAAAGCACTGATTCAGCAGCCCACAACCCTCACGGTCATCAATGTTCAATTGCAGAGAACTAGAAATATGGCCGATATCGTTAGTTTTAAATATCTCTGTGATAACTGGTACTGTTACTTTTTGATATCGGTGACTTAAACTTTTGATGTCAGCACGACGTCGATGCGATTATGATTACACTGATATCCTGAGCAAAATACCGCGATGAAATCACATGGAGCCAACTACCAAAGCCTATAAGACACACGGTATTGCTTGCAGGCCATAGTAGTCTTACTGTGGTATACGTTATACGATTCTCGACCTTATGCATCTCATGCACATTCAAACGTAAACGGCGTGACCCCATGATCCGCCGTTGCCGTGAAACCAAGTTCCCGAAGTCGTGAACGAGTCACACTTTTTTACGGTATTTGATAACAGTCGTGATTTAGAAATATTAGTTACTAAGTTACAGTTCCTGAAATATCTGCCACCACTACGGATAGCTCCTCGCACTTCAATCGCAGCAAACTCCCTCCCGAGACGAACGCCTTCCTCCACATGAATCCTGTGACTCCCCTCTCTAACACAAAGGCTGGATCCGCCCTTGCTATTAAAGGAAATAATATTCGGCTTTGATGGCTAAATGTCCCGCCAAATACAGTGTCAACTCCGGCTTTTGTATTTTAGAGAAATCCATATACGACGGACGTAGTAATGTGTACGAGAGAGAAGCGTCCATTACGTATGTTAGAAAGAGATAGAAGCACCACGTTGCCTAGCAACTCAAGTGACGCAGTTGCGGCTTGCCGCATTTCCATCGGAGCGCTCTTTCTAACATACTAAGATTAACGTGTTACCCACAACTCAAATGATTTAATTTTATACAAATGAATAAATCTCATTGATATAATATTTGACCATTTGCTCTGTACATTGTACACTATTTTTCCGTTAATGTGAAGTCAGCCTTAGTTATTTCATTTTGCTTGAGGATTTCGAATCCACCGTTTGTCCTCATAAACCTGCAATTACAGAGACATTTATATTAGTTTGTGGAGTACTGGGGAATCAGGGGGCCGGAAATTAGTCTAGACTGGTATTTACTGGTATATGCATAGGTCTCGAGACTAGGCTGGGTGTTCTGTTGGTAGGCATGGGTAAAGCGAACTTTTATAGTGAAGTATACTCATAAGTTATATCATAAGGGCATCTAATTTTTCCGAAAAAATTCGAAAAAAACCGTTTCTAGATTTTTTCGCACGAAAAAATTAGATGCCCGAATGTTATTTGACAAGACTATTTCATAAGTAACAGATTATTCTGCATATTTTAAAAACATTACAATATTTGTTGACATTAAAATCAGAAAAATTTATCGTCGTTTTCTGGTATCCTAGGAGACCATAATTACTTGTAATCAAAGGTATTATAATTTTTGGTGACAACAGCTGTCAAGTTTTGCCGCGGGTAAACTCTAAAAAGCTGCTGACAGGTGCTGTCATACAATTTTTCCATCTCGAAACCATTTGTGATTCAATATTGCGCGTTTGTGATTGGTAGAAATTAAGACGAGGGAAATAGTAATTAGAATAGTGGAACATCCCGACCATCAGAAGTCAGATGAGTTCGATTTATCAAGGGTAAGTGGTAAAGGCCAATCAGCTTTACCGATTTATTTTTATTATCGAAGTAAAAAAAAAACACTCTTCAGATTCAGTGTTTGAAGACTATGTCTTTGAAATGTCGGCTGTTACTGCGGTAAATGTGAACCATTCTTGAAGTTCATTTTTCGATGACGCACTCGAGCATTTTAACTTGTACGTAAAGACCTTTACCGCGCTGCCTGAATAAAAATGCACGGACGCTTCATTGAAAATTGGAATATCAAAATGAGCTACGTCACCCGCAATGGTGGTCAACATTTGAAGGAATGATTTTCTAAAAAAAGGAATGTCATGCATGCTTCTTTTGTCTGTTAATAAATATAACACGATACATATGTCAGTATATTTATGGTTTTGAAAAAAGGA